GATAAGAAAAAGACGGAAAGGTGGACCGAGAAGGATGAATGGGCCGAGGAAAGAGGAGCACACACAACGGATGGATAAGGAACAGTGCGACGAACGCAGGGAGGGACCGATACACCGAGAGAGAGAGAAGGAATGGAACGGACAAAGAGAGAGAGAGAGGAGGAGAAGAGAGAGAGAGAGAAGAAGAGAGGAGGGAGAATGAAAAGAAAAGAGGAAGGGAAGAGACAGAAGGGGAGAAAAGGAGAGCGAGCGAGCGGCTTGCGAGTTGGAGAAGACGCGATTTGCCGCTCCGTCGTGTAGAGCACGTCGCCTCGACACAGACTGCGGCGGTCTGGACAACTGCCGCCCACCCAAGCTGCCTCTCTACCTCGAACCTCGAGGTTCCAGAACCTACTCCTCGCATGCCCCGCCATTGCGGCTCGTTCATCCTTCACTTTCTCCGTTCGTTGGACAGAGAAATCGACACGGCCGAAGAGTCGGGGTGAAACCGAGCGAAAGAGGAACAAAGACGGGGCCAAGGGGCCATTCGTCGCTAGACAGAGATCGGGCGCAAGGCCTCTGTCTTTTTCGACAACGCCTTACACTTAGACGGTAGAATAGCTGCCGTTACAAACAGGTTCGTAGGGCAGGTCACGTAACGACAGGGGCGCGTCGAGAAAAATACCGCGAATCGCGAATTAATCTAACAAATGTGTGCCAAATGGGACGCGGATTGTTCGTTTCACGCGTGAATAACATGCTCTTGATATTTATTCAACCGCCTTTCTCAACCATTTACCGTTTCGCGGGCAAATTCTTCGATCGCCTCGGCCAAATGGAAAAGCGCGAAATCGTGCCTTATCCCACGGAAGGCTCGTTCTTCGTTAAGCGTGAGAATTCTTGCGATCTGGCGCCAAGCCAAATGGTAGCTAATTTTTTATTCTTTGATCATTCCTAACGTCGCCGATATTCTATCTCTTGTTTATGTTCGCGGTAAAACTAAACGGTGTACGCGGCACCTCCGTTAACAGATGTGGACACTAAATACGCTACTTTCTTCCAGATCGCTAATCTCGTTCGTGACCACGAATGCAGAAATATTTATCTTATCGAGATGGATAATATTTATACATCATGTTCGATTTGTATTTTTCTTTTTTTAATTCGATCGATAAGAATCAAATATTAGCTATTGTTTCAGTGAAAAGCTCGATTGATAAATAATCTAGCAGAATGATTAAAAATGATTAAAATTATCTCGACTGGTGTAAGTTTTATTTTTATCTGCTTTCCACTTTTTACACGATGTATGAATTTTAAGCCATTTCCATTTCGTAACAATAAATTTTAAAGATTGTCCGTATTTCCCATCCCGTTATCCGATATTTCAACCAATTGTACATGAATTTAAACGACAATTTCTGAATCGTCCGGGACTGTGACCAAGTTGGAAAGAATGCAATTTTGGCAAAATGATCAGTTTGAAAAACAGGTATATGAGCCAAGAGTCTCAAAGAATCTCAAAAGACGCGTAAGCCTCTTAACTTACAGCTTATAATCTCATCCTTTTTCCACTCGTCCAAAATTTTCCACAATTTTATCACCGGTAAAACCGTTTGACGAAGTTTGAACCGCATTGATCAATCCCAAAGAAAAATAATTTCCACTCTTCTAACGTTATATCGTAATGTCTACTACATATTCGATGAGTTCGAAGCAGCGGTTCATCCGACTTATGACCTAGATCCCACCGGCCAACTTTTTATCTCTTACTTTTATTTTTTATTTATTTTATTTTTTTTTTTTTTTTATATTCTTCTCGCTCCCTTGGCATGTGCACACGGATTCCTAACTGTACTGCGATCGAAGCGAAGATTACTCCACGAAATATATATTAAAACGCGGATCTCTAAAAGAAATTTAGTTTGATCGTAAACTTTGAATCGGTCGATTGAACCCGCTTCCATTCCACACGCCGTTCGAAAGATGTTTGTCCGTTTGACGCTTTCCACGACAACCCGGAACGATGAAAATCCTCGACGAATAAGGAGGTGCGCCACAACAAAAGAATTTTCCAAAACAGGTGAGCAAAAAGAAAAAGTGAGGGAATTTCTCAATTGGCGTGAGAAGTAGTTTCACGAAGTTAATTAAGGTCTTTGTCTAACCTTGCGATTCGAGAGAGAGAGAGAGAGAGAGAGACTCGAGTCTTATCCCTTTTAACTGGGCCCTAAAAGGTCCTGAACAAACAAAAGTGCATCACGGATGAATCACGGATACCACTGGTCTCTTCAGGTACTTCAGGTATCCCAGGACATCTAGCGAGCGGCTCGTGAAGCTTCCGGTCCGTAGGCAAAGAAAACCAGGCGTCGTAACGAGTCGTACATATACGACAAACAGGTGCAAGAACCTGTCCAAACTGTTTCCCCCTCTCGACTTTTCGAAAACTTATCGCTCGTTTCCACCGAACGAAATATTTTATAGAAAACAAATATCGAGCAAGCGCGATCATATAATTAGAAAAGAAGTGGCGCTCGTTTAAACGAAACGAAACGAGAGCTTTGGAAAGAAAGAAGTAACGGAGAAGGAAGGAAAAAAGAGCGAAGGAGTAATGCGGAATAAAAGAAGGAAGAGACGTTCTCGAGGCTGGGGCATCGAACCGTGACCCGAGCACCTGTTGCCGCCTCCACGCTGCTCCTAGATTAATGCGAACCGACCTAACCTGCCGCCTCCGCTCCCTCGCCGCAGCGTAGGCACAGTGAACTAACTGGGTATATAACCTCTCGAACGAAGATCCCATGGACCGTGACCGTTGAAATGCACGCTCGTGAGTTCATCGACGCGGCCGCGTGGTTGTCTGCTCTTCTTTGATCGCGGCACAAGTGACTTCATTCATCCGGCCGGTTAAAAGTCTCTCGTCCCCCAACTCAACGAAGTCGAGATTCGTTCGTGTTCTCGGAAACTCGGTAAATTAATGGGAGAAGAAACGGCGGCCGCGAGTATCGTAAGAGGCAATTGAGAGAGGATCGGTACTCGATAGGAGCGGAACGGTTACTAGAGCATTCATGATAGCGCACCAATAGGTCGTTATAATTAGAAACAATTATGCTCGCGTGCCTGAGATGCGATACTTGGGCCGTTGTACAAGTGCGAGAGAGTTAAACACGTTACGTCGATCGAACATCATTTTTAACGACGCCACCTGAAAATGGTGCGGAACCGCAGCTCCCTGGCTTTTGTGAATCAGAGCCTGTAATTTCACGAATCGGATGTGTCCTACATGCATACATACATGTTCGTATGCATATATACGTTTATTATCGTATGCGCGTAGAGGAAGATAAAAGGGGGGAGGGGAGAGAGAGAGAGAGAGAGAGAGAGAGAGAGAGAGAGAGAGAGAGAGGAGAGCGGAGG